AACACGGCGAGAGGTGGGGTGGTAGAACTGCCACCCTGGCGCGTCAGGGGGGAAGCCAAGGAAGACGCAAGGAGCAGCACGAGGGGACAGCTTGTCCGCAGACAAGTCACGGACAAACGCCCGAGATCCCCAGACACGGAACGCAGACGCATCGCCAACCTTCCCCGTCCACAGCAAGGCTGGGGAGGTTCCCGGCATGGAGACCCTGGGGTGAAGGTTGATCTGATGCGCCGCGTACCGAACCGCAAACGGCCACAGAAAATGGGGGGCAGCCGCATGCATCATGGACATATGAGCAACGTCCATGACCATGCCAATGCGGCGCTCAGCAATCCCATTTTGTTGTGGTGAGTCCGGAAGCGTGAAGGTCTGGCGGATGCCTCGTGCACGACAGTAGGCTTGCAGGAGGCCAGAGGAGAACTCTCCGCCTCTGTCCGACTGCAGACGCAGAACAGGAAAGTCCGAGCCGAAGCTCCGCCTGAGCTGGAGACGAGCTGCGCGGATCCAGTCGATCAACACCTCAGTGACATCACCCTTGCTGCGCAAGGGGAAGATTGTGGTGTAACGAGAGTAGTCATCAACCACCAGCAGGAAGTAGCGCTCGTGACCCTGTCCACGGACGCGGGCTGGGCCCCACACGTCCATGTGAAGCGTCTGCAGCGGGGCCTCTATCGCAGGAAACTGGGAGGACTGAGGGGCAGCACGCTGGCGCCCCTCAACGCAGGGGACGCAGGCAGGGGCAGGCCCCGGGGGAAGGGGAGGGAGGGACCGGGGAAGACCATAGACAAGGACACGGGACGCCATGCCTCAGAGACGAGGCAGGGAAGGGTGACCAAGGCGGTGGTGCCAAAGGAGAGTCTCGTGAGATAGGAGACGACACGAGCAGGGGGCAGACTCAGGACCAGACCTGGACGCTGCAGCAAACACCTGACCCGACGCAGCTACCCGAACAAACGCAGGGACTGGAGGAGACTCAGTGGTTAGTGTGTACAGGCTCGACCCCGGCTGACGTGTAAACGTGGCCAAGTGTCGGCCCGACCGAGCCTCAGTGCAGTGTGTCACCCGCTGGCTCGCAGGAGTGAACTGGTGAACTCCCCCATCCTGTAGGTCAGCACCACTCACCAAGTTCGTAGAGAACGAGGGGAGGTAAAGACCAGACAGGGTGCCAGAGGGAGCCGCCGGACATGGGAGGACAGTGGAGAAGTGAGCAAGGACAGGACCCCCAGAGGGGTCCGCCAGAGAGACTGCAACTGGCCGACTAAGCGGCGTGAGTGTGGTGCGGTCTCGAAAGAAGGAGCGAGAAGCCTCGGAGTCAAGGGTGAAGGTGAGGGAGGCCGAAGCCGACGCAGTACCTGAGAGAGCAGACTCACCAGCACCTGAGGAAGCAGACGCACTAGCACCTAGAGCAGCAGCCTCTCTAGCACCAAGAGCAGCAGCCTCACCAGTACCTAGAGCAGCAGTCTCAATGCCCAGGTCGGGCGGAAAACACCGGTAACAGTCACCCTCATCACTAATAGTCACAGCATACATGGCAGCAAGAATAGCATCAAAGTCTAGGTCAAAGATAGCTACTCCCGCCCTAGACAGCTCGCCCCAGCGAGGAATCTCAGTGGCCTCAGGGAACTGGTGACGCCAAGCGTCCGTCATGCGGCCAAAGCAGCGCTGGGTAGGGTGCGCACCCCCGCACTGCTCACCCGCGCGGTCGCCAGTGCGCTGGACGTAGGTGCACGGACCAGTACCCCCACCCCGTTGGCGTGCAGCGTACCACTCACGGAGCTGGTGAGGGGGGGGGATGTCACGAGGGCGCTCCTGCTGCTGCTGCTGGCGCTGGCCACCACCGGAGCCGACCCTCTGCGCAGTGCCACCCCGACTAGCTCCACCTCCTCCGCCTCCGCCTCCTCTTCCGCCGCCACCTCTGCCACCTCCGCTCCCACCGCCACCGGCGCCTCCGCCTCCGCCTCCATTGCCGCCACCGACACCTCCACCCCCGCCACCACTCCCACCACCACCCCCACCCCCTCCGCCGGCTCCACCGCCACCTCCACCGCCCCCGCGAGCTCCTCCAGCGCCCTTGCCCCCCTTGCCCTTGCCTGTGCGGCGCTTCCCCGAAGGGGCAGACGCAGCGCCGACCGACTCGAAACCAACGAGGTCGGCCGCAGCAGCAGAAGCAACAGAGGGCAAGAGGGGGGAGGGAGAACACCCCTCAAAGACGGGGGTGCGGGGGTCACCACGAGAGGCTCCTACAACGACTATGCACTTCTGCGCTGCTAGGAGGGCCTTCTTGAGGAGGTCAACGGTGAGAGTGGTGGGGCAAACAGAGAGAAAGTGGTCCCTGACTACGCGGAGGGAGTCAGGGAGACGGGCAACTATGTAGTAGAGGGTGATGTACATGGGGGGGGGGGTTCTTGGCGCAGAACTCAGCAAGAAGCGCAGCGCGGTAGCGAGTGTCACTAGTGCGGAGGTGCGTAATGAGGTCAGTGACTGTGGGAAAGGCAGCAAGGTCAGGGAAGAGGTACGGTAGCATGAGGCGGCTCAGTGCAGCAGTAGTAGGGGAGGAGTAGCGTGCAACTACAACGTTGTACAAGGTGTGAGCACTCTTGTACTGGCTAAAGTGCGCACGCTCAGAGGTAGGCAGGTGGCGACGCACAGCAAGACGTGCAGCAGCATCGCGCATGGCCCACTGTGAGCAAACAGTCTCGTCAGCATCAGCAGCAGAGGCAGGAGAGGCACCAGAGGTGAGGTCAAAGAGGGAGAGACCGTCTGCCCTATCGCACTGTAAGAAAAGCTGTAGGTCATCTATCCTGACGTCAAAGTCAATGGCCCGACCCTCAGTGTCAAAAGCGAGGACACTAGGGGTAGCCATGACAGTAGTAGACTAGCAGCGCGAACAGTAGGGTAAGGGCAGTGCAGTGACAGAGGCGCTGCTCTTACCGGACAGGGCAGCTCGGGCGGCTCGGCGGTGCGGGCGGCTCGGCTGCAGGGCGACTCGGCAGCTCGGCTGCTGGGCGGCTCGGCGGCTCGGCTTTTGGGCGGCTGGGTGGCTCGGCAGCTCGGCTGCTCGGCTGCTGGGCGGCTCGGCGGCTCGGCTGCTCGGCGGCTCGGCGGCGTGGCGGCTCGGTTGCCTGGCGGCTCGGCGGCGGCGGCTCCTGACTCAGGGACGGTTGTGGGGCCGTGAGGAGGCCGCAGAAGGCGGCTCGAGGGGCCAGGTGGAGCGGCAGCGAGGCCAGGTGGAGCAGCGGTGGGGCCGGGTGAGGTGGCGTCGGGGCCGGGAAGGGCGGCGCCGTGGCCGCAGGGGTAGGCGCCGGGGCCGGGAAGGGCGGCGCCGGGGCCGCAGGAGTCGGCGTCGGGGCCGCTAGGGCGGCGCAAGGGGCCGCAAGGGCGGCGCACCGTGGGCCGACGGGCGGCTCAAAGGGCCGCAAGGACGGCGCGCGGAGCCGACGGGCGGCGCAAGGGGCCGCTAGGGCGGCGCGCGGGGTCGACGGGCGGCGCAAAGGGCCGCTAGGGCGGCGCGTGTAGTCGACGGGCGGCGTAAGGGGCCGCTAGGGCGGCGCGCGGGGTCGACGGGCGGCGCGAGGGGCCGACGGGCGATGCGCGGGGCCGTAAAGGGCGGTGCGCGTGGCCGCTAAGGACGACTCAAGGGGCCGTGAGAGGGCCGCTAAGGGCGACGCGACGATAGGGAGAGCACACAGGGCGCGACTCGGGCCTGAGCGGAGCGCGCTCCGGGCAGGAAAAAAATTACGTAGTGGTGGGCCCTAGGAATCGTTCCCGCTAGGGAACCTGCTCGATACCATGAGAAGAAACGAGGAATGAATCAAGTATGAAAGAGTTGGGTACAAATACTAACCCTAATTGGGTTGTACCCCTTATGGGATGCCCCACTACAGCCTACACAAAATGTATAAGCTACAACATTCTGACAAGAGCGACTCTTGCCATCAGTCTCACCACCCCAATCCGAGTCGATGTACCCAACAACCTGCTCACCACCTTGGCGTTCATACTTGATGACACGATCAGCTGTGTCGACCAAGTACCTGAGTGCTCTCAGTGCAGCGCGCATGTGAATGCGTCTTGGTGCCACACAGGACTGTGCAAGGGTGTTGACAGTGAAGGACATGTCAGGACGGGTAGTCACAGCAGCATACATCAAGCTGCGAATGAAACTCTGGTACACCTTGACATCAGCTGCAGCACCTTCCTCACTCGACCAAGTACCATTCCTGATCTTAGAGAGCTCATTGGTTGACATTGGAGTGTGCACCCTATGTGTCTCCTTCAGCAGATCACCAAACCATCCTTGGAGACCACGGACATACTTCTCCTGACCAATCTCCAACCACCCATCCTTGACCGACCTACGAACCTCTACACCAAGGTACGTGGATACCTCACTTAGATCCTTCATCTGGTACCTCTGAGCAAGCACCTCCTTGACCTGACCGATCAGCTCCAAGCGTGGAGACACAAGCAAGAGATCATCCACATAAACCAACACATACACTGGCTCTTCATCCACAAACATGATGTACAGAGCCTCATCGCATGCACTACGGTCAAACCCTGCTGCAATCAGGGTGGTACCAATCTCCTCATTCCAAGCGCGAGGCGCTTGCTTGAGCCCATAGAGAGATTTGCGCAAGTGATACACCCTACCTGTAACATAATCAAATCCCTCAGGTTGCCTCACATACACCTCCTCTTGAAGGACTGCATGATCAACATCCTCCTGTTATACATGCCACCCTTTTACCGCAGCTTCTGCAAGAAGCACCCAACTTGAGGTGAGCTTGCCCATAGGGGCAAATACTTGATCATAGTCCTTCTCGGGCTCCTGAGTGTACCCCTTAGCAACAACACGAACCTTGTGCTGTACCACCTTATCCTCCTTGTCAGTTTTCCTGCAAATAACATATTTGACCCCAATGGCCTTCCTACTTGGAGGTAAGTCGACCGGCTCTGGATCCCATACACCCATAGTGCGCCTTGCATTCACCTCCTTCTCAGTGACTGCCTTCCACGCAGGCACGCAGTGCCTCAGCGAGTATGTGTGGGACATCACCTGTGCTCACATCTACTAGTGCAACACCCTCCACCTCCCTGGCCAAACACAGCATGCCCTCAACCACACCAGCATCCCCCCCTACCTCCTCACCACCTGTACCGGACGGAAAACCAAGCACTTGCAAACCTGTAACCAGTGGGGGGGAGGTAGTCGCTGGTGACGTAGGTGCACTCGTCAAGAGAGTGACAAAGCGCTGACCAGAGGAGGAGGAAGAGGAAGAAGCCTGTGTAGCATATCTCCGCTGAATGACCGAGGGGCCACTGAGCTGCTGCAGAGGGGTGGGCTGCTGCTGCACCGACACACTCAGCGGTGCCGGTGGCGGTGATGAAGGTGGCATCTCAGCGTCGTCAACCGCTGCTAAGGGTGGCGAGACTGGAAGAGGGAGGAGCTGGGAAATCTCAGGTGCATCCTGCAGAAGCTCCCCAAATTTCTTTGCCTAGTCCCAATTCTTCCACATCACATTCTCAAGAAAATCAACATCCCAAGCAATGCGAATGCGTTTGAGAGAAGGGTCCAGCATGCGCCAACCCTTGCTCTCCATGTCCTCATGTCCACCCCAACACAGATACACACGATAGCCTGTGCATCAAGCTTGCCACCCTCCTCATGCCCATGCAGCATGACACTCCCCATGCAACCCCAAATCCGAGCCATGCCCACATGCGGCTTCTGGCCAGACCACGCCTCCATTGGTGTGATGGAGGTAGGGAAAGCACTGTGGGTGACCTTGTTCTTAACCCACACGACCCACATCAATGCTTCACCCCACAAGCGAGCAAGGAGACCATTGTCGACCAACAATGTGCGAATCCCCTCTACCATCGTCATGTGCCACCTTTCAACGACCCCATTCTGTTGCGGTGTATCCGCGACGCTCAATTGAGTTTTAATGCCAAACTCCTCCTTCCATTTCATAGCATCCCCCAAGAACTCGCCACCCCTGTCTGAGCGAACAACCTTCAGCTTCCGCCCACACAGCAACTCCATGTCCTTACGCCACTGTCGAAAAACTTTTGCAACTGTGGCTGATTCCTTGTTGGGGAGTGGGAATGACCAAACTCGTCTGGTGGAGCCGTCAATGAGGCTAAGGACATACACCCCTCCTCCCAGTGACGGTGTACGCACTGGCCCCCACAAGTCCATGTGGACCTCATCCAAAGGTCCAAGTGCCCGAGACGCCTCATGGGGAAACGGCTTTCGAGCCGACTTTCCCAATAAGCAAGGCTCACATGGAGAGCAATCAGTGCTCCATACCCCAATCTCCAAGCCTAGTACACTGTTCCCCCTGTTAACAGGAATGGAGTGTTGGCCCCGCCCTCGCTTGGGCAATGCCGACGACTTGGTCGGATGTACGGGAGTAGCAGCCGACCGTTCACAGTGGGAGAGCTGCTCGACAGGCTTTGTCGAGCTGCAGGGGACCGATGTGGTGTTGCTGTCGACCAGGGAGCTCGACAGCTGCAACTGACTGGTCTGGGCGACGGGTGGGACGTCGACCAGGACCTGCAGTTCGACCGGGAGGTCGACGGGGCAGTCGGAAGGGGTCCGTCGACCAGGGGGCAGCTCGACGGGAGTTGTGGTCGACCTGAGGCACTTGGTGGTCGACCAGAGGGACCTGGTGGTTGACCAAAAGCAGTGGTGGTCGACCGGAAGCATCCGGTGGTCGACCGGGTCGACCGGGTAACCTGCTCGACGAGTTCTGCGGAGGGACGCAAACGTCGTCGAGGTCGCGATGGCGCAGGCGACTGCGGGCTGGTATCCCGAAATCGATGTGGCTCGTCAGGCGCAGACAAGAGCCGACGGATGCCCAACGAGGCAAGTCGGGCCAATCGTCTGCACGCACCTGCGAGTGTGCGCACTGGTGTGCTCTACGGGGCAACGCTGGACAGCCGCTCTGCTGCAGTGTTGGCACGACGTCGACCTGCTCTGTTGGCAGGTCGCCTTTTCGCAGTGCTGGCGCGGCTCCTCTACGCAACGCTGGCAGGCGGTCGACCGAGCTGTGCTGGCGGACGACCAGGCTAGCTGCAGGTTTGCTAGGTGCCTGATGTAGTCATTTCTGTGATTGCTTGTTCAATCATTCTGTAATTCCAACTTTGCTAGTGGAAACTCTTGCCGATCTCTCACGTGAATGCGCAAGCACTAAGGTACCAAGCAAAGTTACGATCACCTCTAGTAGTTCGTGCCAACCCCCGTAGTCTAGCTCACTACCGTTGTAGAGTGAATCTCCGCATGGTGCGGTGAGCGTGGACGGCCCCGCAGATTACCTTCAGATAGGAGCCGACTTTTGCACCTACTAAGCCGTTTGTGGGCCGGCAGCAGCGTTAGTCGCCATGGTCGACCCCGTAGTTGATGCGGGCGTAGCGGACACCTTGGAGACACGCTTGGCTGATGGGAGGAGACGCCACGCGGATGGCGAGTACGGGACGATCCCCTTGACGATTGTCGAATTGGGAATCCGGGCGCAGTGGGCGACGGATCACCCTTCCCGTCCTGCTTCTCCTCGACCGGTGCGAAACGAAGGTGGCGTCGATGACGAGGTCGACGGCGGTGCTCAAGTCATCGGTAGCGAAGACACGAGGCAGAGAGGGGTGATCAAGGTCGACGGTGGTGTCGACAAAATCCAGGCGCGAGTGCAGCGGTCGACGGCGGCTGCAGGCAGCTCGCGCGCCGACGTCGATGTTCGACGTCGCTCTCCTCTACGAAGTGGTGGCGGGCTCTCGGCGACGACGCATGTGACGACGGGCGGGATTGCACCGGCATATGGCTACTTCAAGTTTTCGCCGGATCGAATCACCGTCGCTCCGCTGCAAGGTCGACGGGACCTCATCACCTGGAGGGAGTCGATCGAACCTCAGCTGGAGGTCGCCGGGCTGAAGGGCTTCGCCGACGGCACCGTGCCAATTCCGCCCGAGGAGGATGTCGGGCTGCGCGGGGAGTTTCGTTCTGCTCACCTGCTCACCTTCATGGTCATCTCGAGGTGTTGCTCGCCGGTGGTGCAGCTGGCGCTCAGGAGCTGTCGAGAGCTATTGGATGCTGGTCACCATGCATGGCGCTTCATCATGTCGACGTACCAGGTCAGGGACGACCTGTACATCGAGCAGCTGGAAGAGAAGATGACTCACATTCGGATGGGTGAGCAGGAGTCGGCGACGGATTACTGCAACCGTGCTCCACGGATCCTGGCTGAGATGCGGATGGCGGGCGCCGAATACTCGACGGCGTCCTACATCACCGACATCGTCAAGGGCTTGCCGCGCAGCTACAATCTCATGAAGAGGATGATGATGGTGCCCGGCACGCGTGAGTCCCTCGACGAGGACTTCATCACCAGCTACATTCTTCAAGATGAGGCAATGCAGGAGGCCGAATAGCCCACTGAGCTCCTTCCGCAGGCAAACTACGCCGCATCAACGAAGCTGAATCAGCAGCAAGGGCAGCGCGGGAAGCCGGGCGGAGGTGGTAGCGGAGGTGGGCGGTCAACGAAGGGCGTCGACGAGAAGCGGTCGACGCGGGACAAGGGTCGACGAGGTGGTGGTCGACGGCGGGAGTGCTCGATCAGCGGAGAGCCCGACCATCTCTCCTACGAATGCCCCGACCGCGACGACAGCGATGAGGACGACACGAAGGGTGGTCGTGGCCGGTCGACCAGCCGTCGCCCCCGTCGAGAAGCGAAGCCGCGCAAGGAGAAGCAGGCGTCGAAGAAGACGCCGTCGACGAAGGACGTCGACAGCTCCAGCGGCAAGGGCCGAGGCGACGGCGAGGCGTCGTGCTCGATGGTCGGCGTCGTGGAGCCGACGGTCTCGCTGGCGCCGGAGGCTGGCGAGGACTTCCAGGCGGTGGCGGCAGCTGTGCAGGCCAACCAGATGGCGGTTCTGCTCGACAACGGGTGCTCCCACCACCTGATAGGGACGAAGACGGTCTTTGTCGAGATGGGTCCGAGCGACAGGGTGAAGCACGTGCGTGGGTTCAACGGGGCATTGCAGCCTGTCGAGGGTCGCGGAACCGTCGCTCTGCAAGGGGAGGCCGGGAAGCGGGTCCTCATCCCCGACATACTCTACGTTCCGGGCGTACAGGCGAACCTGTTGTCTGCTGGCCAGCTGAAGGAGAGTGGAGTGCAGCTGCAGGGCGACGGCGGCGACGGGATGCTTCTCGTCACAGCGACCGGGGAGGTGCTCGGTCGAGCACGCTACACTGGCCGAGTCCTCTGCACCGACCTTCGCCCCTGCTCGACGCAGTCGCCGTCGACCAAGGTGTTGGCTCTACGGACGATCGTCTCGACAACAAAGGCGACTCCCGATCGGCTGCACGCACGGCTCGCACATGTCGGCATCGACACGATCAAGAGCTTGGCGAATCATGGAGTTGCTACTGGGCTCGACATCACGCCGTCAACCCGAGCTGACCCACAGTGCGTTTCGTGCGTCGGAGGAAAGCTGGCGCGGCACACCTTCCCCGACAAGGGCTCGGACGCTGAGGAGGCACTGGCTGTCGTGCACATTGAATTGTGTGGGCCATTTCGAGTGGCTGCGAAGGATGGCAGCTTGTACTTCCTGCTGTTGAACGATCGCCATACTCGATTCGTGTGGGCCATGCCAGTCGCTAAGAAGAGCGACGTGCTGCGGGAGTTCGAGAAGTGGCTGGTGCTGGTGGAACGGCAGACAAAGAAGTCGGTGCTGTCGCTTCGCTCCGATTGAGGAGGGGAGTTCCTGGGGAAGGCATTCACTGACTTCGTCGATGGGAAGGGCATCGTCCACGACCTGACGTGCCCCTACACTCCGCGGCAGAATGGCATGGCTGAGCGGGAGATGCGCACGGTCGTCGAGTCGGTGCGGACGATGCTGTTGCACATGGGCGTGCGGCACCACTGGTGGCACCTCGCCCTTCGACAGGCTGTCTGGGTGCGCAACTGCTTGGAGCGGTTGACGACGTCGCCGGAGACGACTCCGTACCAGCTGCTAACCAGGACGAAGCCCGACCTCACGCTGGCGCGGGTGTGGGGCTGCATGGTGCAGTTCATGGTTCCCGAGCAGCAGCGCGGGGGCAAGCTGGCACCGAAGGCTCGATGGGGGCTTCACCTGGGTGTGTCGCCGGAGAGCAAGGGCTGGGAGGTGCTCGACCTGACCGACAACAAGGTGGTCACGTCGGTCGAGGTGATCTTCTACGAGACGCTGTCGCTGGAGGTGTGGAAGGCGAAGTATGGGCCGGCGTCGGAGTGGACGCAGGCGCACCCGCCGACGGCCACCTCGACGGCAACGGTTCCGCTGCTCGCCGACGACGACGAGCCTGCTGATGAGGATGTTGTGGAGGTTCTTCCACCTCCCCCTGTTCTTGCTCCTCCCTCTCCCGTCGCGGATCGACCTGCTTCGACACCTGTGTCGACCACCGGCGATGAGGGGAGCCTTGAGGCGCCGCCTATGGCGCCGACCCATGACATCGCCGGCGGTCGACAAGGTGCCAAGCTCGTCGACCAGGATGGGAAGCCGTCGACGACAGGGGAGCAGCCAGGGGAGCCGGTCGAATAGGAGGCTATAGCAGCGGTGCAGCCGACAGGGGAGCAGCAGCCGAGGCAGTCAATAGGGGAGCTGTCGAAGTCAACAGCGGGCAAGCAGCCGGTCGACGGGTCGAAGCAGCTGGTCGACGGGTAGAAGCAGCTGGTCGACGACGAGGATGTCGATGAGGAAGGGGAGCAGTCGGCAGGTGAGGAGTCCACCGACAACGACGTGGTGGAAGTGCCGATCACGAAGCCTGAACTGCGA